TACCAGAAGTTCACAGTCTAGCTCAGAAACAAACAACACAATTCAAATAAATCTCACCCAGAGAAACCAAGTTCTATAAGGACAGGTGCACCTCCTCCAGGGTGCCCTCTGGAGCCCCAGAATCTTCCTGTTAATGGTCAGTGCCATGAGACTTCCTGAACTCAAGGCTTTTATGGAGATGACAAAAGGCTATATAGGGATGGCGAGGCTCACTGTCACTAATTAGACTCATAATACTTAGATACAATGACCCATATGCTTAGATACTCTGTGATCATCTCTGGCTGCCCCCGAGCCTCTGGGTGTCTCACTTGGCCTATTCTTGGTATCCTGCTACAGGGCAGGCAGGCTCCAGCTTATTGTGCATGGGCTCACAGTAGAAATCATGGCAATAGCAATAGGTGTCATAACGGAACACGTACTCTTAAAGGGTCCTTCACCCCATAATCATTATTTGATTTGATTCTCACCTCATAAGAAGTATCGTATTTGGCCAGGCACGGTGGCTCACACCTGTAATCCCAGCACTTTGGGAGGCCGAGGTGGGTAGATCACTTGAGGTTAGGAGTCCAAGACCAGCCTGGCCAACATGGCAAAACCCCATCTCTACTAAAAATACAAAAATTAGCTGAGTGTGGTGGTGGGTGCCTGTAATCTCAACTACTCAGGAGGCTGAGGCAGGAGAATCGCTTGAACCCAGGAGGCAGAGGTTGCAGTGAGCTGAGATTGCACCAGTGCACCCTGCCTGGGTGACGGAAAAAAAAGTATTTAATACTCACCTCCATCTAGTGAGACAGATAGTATTGTTACCCCCATTTTACAGATGAGAAAACCAAGGCTTAGGGAAGTTCCACCATACAGTTCAGACGTACAGTATGTAAAAAGGATCAAAGCTTTAACTTTGTTTCTTCTGTTTGACAGAAATTTACATTTATGTTTATTGTAGGCCACAGCTGTATCTACAAAAGGCCAGGCTTCCCTCACGTGCTGTAGCCCCTGTAATGATTTAGCTCTGAATCTCGATCCATTCATGGCAACGCAATGAAGTCCCCATGCCCAGGTTCCACCCCGGGCCACTTAAGCCAGAGCCTCAGGGCAGAGGGCAGTGGATTAAGAGTCTGTGTGAGAACCCTCTGTCAGTCTCTGGGGCTCCTTTCAAATGCTGAGTTTGTCCTGGGTGCTGTGAATCTGGGGCAGGGATCAGGAACATGAAATAAAACAGCTTCCCCAGTTGTACAGGAAAGTAGCTACCATATAATGCCCTGAAACCTCCGAGGAAGCGGCTGTTGGTCCCTTCGGGATGGAATTGGTAGGAATATGAAGAAGGTGCAGGAGCAGACACAGGGAGGAAGCCCGGACCAAGGAGAGAGGAGTGATGTGGTGCCTTTGAGCTGGTAACCTGCAGAATCTGCAGTCCAGGAAGCCCCTACCCCTTATGTGTGGCCTCCAGAGCTAAGCCTTAAGCCCCGTGAGCGTAGGGACTCGGAAGACTCGACCCAAATATCAGACATCGTTTTCTTTTGATTCTCATCATAACCCTTAAGGTAGATTTGATTACCCTCCATTTTACAGATGAAGAAACTAAGGCCCAGAGAGGGAAGTCAGTTGTCCAAGACCACACAGCTAGTAAGTGGCAGGGGAAGAACTCAAACCCACCTGTACCCAATCCAGAGTTCGTTCCATTTCAGTAGTTCTGGGTACAGAGCAGATGCCCAATGAATAGTTAATCAATTGCATAACGGAATCAGGTCCTGTATCCCTGCATGGAGCTTTCTGGGCCATGACTGTCGTCCTCAGGCCCATCTCTCCTGGCACAGGCACAGTGGGACTGAGGAGAGGGAGGGGCCTACACAGGGAATTACGTTGCGGTCTGTATCCTGTCCTCCCAGCCACATACAGCACACTTGTCATCAGTCATAACACTAAGCTGAAGGAAGAAGGAAGGAAGGAGGGAGGGAGGGCGGGAAAGAGGGAACTCGTTTATATTACTTACCTCAGGGAGGTGCCCAATCCCCCTGCCCTGGTACTGTGCTGAGTCTGCATAACACAAATCCCCTGCCCCGGTACTGTGCTGAGTCTGCATAACACAAATCCCCCTGCCCCGGTACTGTGCTGAGTCTGCACAACACAAAGAAGTATTTCTTATTTGTGGTAAATTTACTGCCCAGTAATTTTTCTGTTCTGATTTTCTGCGACAAGCAGCTGAGTGATTTTTCTCCTGGCTTATTTTCTGAGTCTCAGCCAGTCCCATAAATCGCCACTGTTAGCTCCTCTGCAGTCCTAACAGCAAAAAGTCACCCCAGCTTTGGTAGCCTTCAGGGGGACTGGCCTGTCCCCTAGAGGCCTTTAGATGCTCCCTAGGTCAGTGAGGGCTGCTGGCACTGCCTTGGGGCCAGAGGGCAGGCACACCTGGGCTAGGCCCAGCATCTTCGCCATCGCTGAAGCCCAGCTCTGGAAAATTCCATGATAGGGAGTGACTGTGCCCTGCGCTCTGATGCCGGGGCTGGACCATTGGTCTCGAGTGCTCACAGGCTGAACGGAGGGCATCTGAGTCCCATAAGTCACGTTTGTAGAGTGCTTTGAGGGATACGGGCTCTTGAACCAACATCCTCTCATGTTTTCCTCTGGGGCTCAGGTGGTGGGACAGTCTGATTTCAGCAGGTGTTGAGTGGAGGGGTAGAGTGCAGACCTGGGAGAGGACCTGGCTCAAAAGGCAAAGGGGTAGAAGAACTGGATGTGTTCAAGGAAGAATGGGGTGTGAAAGGCAGGAGCAGGAGAGACAGGGTGGCACCAAGGTGTGGCCTTCTCCAGCCTGGACAGGTGGCGGCAGAGCCTAGCACGCTGGACAAGGAGTTTGACCTCCCATCCGAGTGCCTGGGTTATCAGTGGTCTCTGGTCAGAGTCTGTGGGGAGTTTGCAGAGATCAGCTGCCTGGGGCAAGGGGGGTCCTGAATTAGGGTTGAAGTCAAAAACTTGGGGATGGAGGGACTCAGGGTGGTGGGGGTGCGGGTGCGGGTGCTGGGGCTGCCTTTGAATCTTCTGCTTCCATGACCATGACTCAGGGAGGCCAAAACGTTGCTGGTGGCGCGGGGGGTGGGAGGGGGGGTAGGCAGGGCTGGCCCAGGGGCAGGAAGGAGACAAGAGCTGCCAGGGATCAGTCCTGCACGGCCTCTCACTGTGTGCTCTGAACCTGAAGCCTCGGTGCCTCGGTGTCCGAGTGTGGGTGGCAGGAGGATCTGACGAATATTACATTTAATGCAGTGTCTGAAGAAATGTTAGTTTTCACCCTGTTCAACAGGGGAGGCAGCTGACAGAGGGTACATCACCTGCCCCAAATCACACAGCGAGCAAGAATGACAGCACTCCCACATATGGCCTCCCCTCCCTCTGCCCTAATCTGTGTCGGAAGGCCACCAGAGGGCGCCCCAGTCTCGGGAGACAGGCACTGGAGGGGCTGGCCTGGGACCTCTGCTCTAGTTACCAGGCCGGGGATGGAGTGCGATGCATGCTGTGCCCTGTTTTACAGGTTGAGTAGCTGCATGTTTACCTAGTAGGACGTACGTTCTAGGCTAAAATCCGGGTCTGCTCATTCACAGTGCAGAGATGTTTCAAATAAAAACTTTTTTTTTTTTTTTTTTTGAGACAGTCTCACTCTGTCACCCAGGCTGGAGTGTAGTGGTGCAATCTTGGCTCACTGCAACCTCCGCCTCCCAGGTTCCAGCGATTCTCCTGACTCGGCTCCATAGTGGCTGGGATTATAGGTGTGTGCCACCACACATGGCTAATTTTCGTATTTTTTAGTAGAGATGGGGTTTCATCATGTTTGCCAGGCTGGACTGGAACTCCTGACCTGAAGTGAGTTCAGGTGCCTCAGCCTCCCAAAATGCTGGGATTACAGGGATGAGCCACTTCGTCCAGCCTAAAAATGCACACTTTTATTTAACCAGAGTATTTACTGTACCTTGTGTTCTCCAGCCCACTGTACTCCAATGGCGGGGCCACCAAACATGCATGACTACAGCCTGACAAAGGTTAATATGGCACTAGGAGTTCGGGACCCCTTGGAAATTTGCAGTGGGAGAGGCTAACACAGAAGGGACCTTGGAGCTGCAGTTTGTAGGATGCATCAAATGTTACTCAACAGTAGGGTTTCAGGGAGAGAAATGGAGGGACTATGAAGAGGGAACAGTGTGTGCAAGGCAAATAGTCCCGAAGAGCAGGGCATGTGCCAGGAATGGGGCGTGTATAGTAGGAGCAGGGGAGACAAGAGAAGGCAGAGGCCATGGAGCTGGGACTGGGGGGCAGGGAGATGCTCGTCTAGGTGGGGAGGGGCACCAAAGGTACCTCTGTCTGTTGCCCACAAGACCCTTCAGGGCACAGGGATGGGAAGCTGAGCACCACACCCCACTGCCCTGGGTGAGAGAGTACCTGGTACTGAGGAGGCGGGGAGTGGGGAGAGTTAGCCCAGATTCACCCTGTCCTAGTTACTGTTAGATATTGAAATGGTCTCATTTCACCAGCATTTGACCTATTGTCTCCCTGTGGGAGAGCGGCACACGTCTCGGGCCAGGAGTTCCATTCATCCAGACGTGAACATCCTCCCGAGGCTTCCAGAGTTCTTGGTTCACACAGGGGCTAACATGGCTGTGCTTCCATGTCCCAGAGGCAGGAGCTCTGTGCGCAGACGACAGCCTCAACTTCCCACTTTGTTCCCACTCCTCCCATTGCCCAAGGTTCTTTGGCCCCGCAGCAGCCACATCTGCCATTAGTGCCAATGGCTTTTCCAGGAGCTGGTTGAGGTGGGAGGGAAGGAGGGGGTGGTGATCAGGTTGGGGTGGGAGGGAAGGAGGGCGTGGTGATCAGGCTGAGGCATGGGGATTGGATCTGGTCCCTGTGTCATAATTTCTTTGGCCACAGTCAGTCCTAGTGCCACCCTGGAGTGATGGGGTTGTGTTCTGGTCCCCCTGGGCCTTGCTGACTGGCTTTATCTCTTGACACAGAGGCACAGAGCTTCGGCCTGCTGGATCCCAAACTCTGCTACCTGCTGGATGGAATCCTCTTCATCTATGGTGTCATTGTTACTGCCCTGTTCCTGAGAGTGAAGGTGGGTACCACTGGGCTTTGGGAGGAGGGCATGGGGTCCCCAACTTGATGGATATTCAGAGGGTCCTTGGTCTTGGAAAGTTTCAAGCTTGGGTGGTGCCGGGAGCTTGATATCCAGGAGCAAAGCAGGGACCAGCCAAGTGTGTGCCTTGAATGGGCTGAGGAGGAAGTGGGGGTGTCTGGCTGAGATGAACAGGGTGGGAGGGAGAGCCTGGTGCTAGGCACCTCCATGATGAACCATACACATGTGTGCACATCCGAGTGTCTCGGAGAAGGCGATACTGCTGGAGACAAAGGGGCTTACACTCAGGCAGAGATCCTGCTGTCTACGTGTGAATGAAGGCCATGCTAGCCTTTCTCCTGAAAAGGTTCTTTACTCATCTGTACTTGGGAGAGTGGGCCAGAGCATGGGTTTTCACTTGGTGCCTCGAAGACCTTGGATTTCTTGGTGGGGCTGGTCATGGTGTGGGCAGAGGGTGGAAGAATTTAAGAGTAAAGGGGAGGATCTAGTCCCAGTCATCCATTCGGTGCTGCCCAACCCATTTCTTCCCTATTTTGGACTTTGGCATAAGAGTTTATTTGAAACCAAATCTTACTTTTTTTAAGTTTGAAAACGCTGCCCTAGGTGATTTCTAAGGTTGTATCCAATGCTCTGGATCTGTAAGACCTTGCGGTTTCTCCTGGCTGGGGCGGCATGAACTGAAGCAAGAGTGAGGCTGTGTAAGCTTCCAGCAGATGCTCAGGACACTAAGCGAGTCCGAGGGTTCCTGGGCACCGGCGCAGCCGGGCGATGGCAGAGGGCTGGGCGAGTGATGCACGTACCGGGGGTCAAGATAGGAGGTCGGACCTTGAGCAGCCGCCATCCACCCTGATTGTCCTCGGAGTTCCTGGAGGAAGGGACCCCAGAAAATACTCCACGTCCCCAGAGAGCACAAAGAACCTTACACCTCTGTGCACGCGCGAGGGCGCTAGCCCGGGAAGAATAAACTCCAGCGGGTCCCGGGCCAGCGTGATGGATGCACATGTCACAGGCAGGAGGAAAAAGGACAGCTGGGCTCAGAAAAAGGGGCTGCCACGCCCCAGCCCCTGCAAGGGCTCAGCCCCAGGAGGCAGGGCACGCATTGCTAGTTGCCAAGGAGCGGAGTAGGGCTGTCCCTCGGGTTGCCGCGCGCCCTCGCGGAGCAGTAACGCGCTTTGCTCTCTGTGTCGCAGTTCAGCAGGAGCGCAGACGCCCCCGTGTACCAGCAGGGCCAGAACCAACTCTATAACGTAAGTCAGCCTTGCCGCAGACCCTCCCGGAAAGGAAGGTCAGGACCCTTCTCGGACCTAGGGAACACACCCGCCAGAGTCCCGGGTTTAGGTCTGGTCCCCAGCTGTCACCTCTGACCCGACTGCAACTTGTTTAACCTCAGTTTTCTAACCTGTAAAACAGGGGTGGTAATTGTACCTGTCTCAAAGGGTGCCATAAGGATAACATGCTTTAGTAGCTTGATGAATGGAAGGAGCTTAGTACAGTGCCTGCCACTAGTGAGCCCCCAAGCCATCAGCAATTTGCAAAAGCTAGGGGGGGGGGGTGGAGAAGGAATGTGTTAGAATCTTCCCAGCGGGGGGGAAAGCAATGTTAATGGGACTGCAGTGGAACTGACCACCACCTCTGAGCCCCAGCTTCTCTACTTGCTCACAGGAATGTTGTTCCTTATCCTGTTGGACTGACCAGCATATAGTACTTGGTGACCTTTGGGGATCCCACCCACTGTCATGGTAGTGCGTGTTCTCTGAGATGTGATGATGGTCTCCAGATGAACCTGTTACCACTCCCTCCCCAGCTAGGGCCCCTCTTTTTGTGAGCCATTCCAGAGAGGGAAACCACACTCCCCAGTCCAACTGGCCCCATCCTTCTGAGGCTCCTCTGTCCTGTGTCTGACTGAAACTTCCTTGTCTCTTTTAGGAGCTCAACCTAGGACGAAGAGAGGAGTACGATATTTTGGACAAGAGACGGGGCCGGGACCCTGAGATGGGGGGAAAGCAGGTAAGGGTTCCTCTATCTTCCTGTGTGTTCCTGCATGTGTGGCAGGGCTCAGCCCAGGCTGCAGGACAGGACTTCTCAGCCCCAGCTCACTCTGCAACCAGGCTTGACCCTCAAAGTGTGGGCCCAGGACAAGAGAAGAGGTGGAGACCCACTTACCACATCCTCTTTCTTCCTCCTTGGCTCCATTCTGCATCTCAAGGGGCCTCACCCCTGGATGTGGCACCTCCACCCCCCCACTATGATTAAGCTCCACCCACTCCTTGGCCATCCTGAGATGCACACTTGGTGGCACCATGTGCCCCAGGACAGACCTGGTGAAGAGGTCCACACAGGAAGGGCACAAGACCCCTGGACAAGTCCTGGGTACCCTTCTGGAGTATTGCTGGAGTGTGGTCCCTGGAGCTCTGATCTCTTGGCTTTGTAGACTCTGTACCCTGTGGGTAGGGGAGCAGCTGGATGAGACCACAGTAGCATCCTCTTCGTTTTTTCCACTTCATTCTGATTTCCTTCCTTCCTTCCTTCCTGCATCCCTCCCTCCCTCTCTCCCTTCCTCTTTCTGTTTGTTGTATATTGACAAATTGTAGATCTATATACTTATTGTTATGATTTTTGAATATGTGAAATTATTAAACTAACATATTTATCACTTCAAATATGTAACTTTTTGTGATGAGAACATTAGCCATTTACTCTTAGAGATATTAAAATGTACAGTACTCAAGTATTAGCTATATTCAGCGTGCCATGCTATCGATCTAAAAATAAATTTACTCTTCCTGTTTAGTTGAGGCTTTGTACCCTGTGACTATCATCCTCCCAATCCCCTCATTTCCCCGCCTCTGGTAAACATCATGCTACTTATCCATGCTTCTGTGAGTTAAACTGTTTTAGATTCCACATACAGGTGAGGACATGCAGCGTTTGGCTTTCTGTGCCTGGCTTATTTCACTTCGCATGATGGTCTCTGGTTCCATTCATGTCAGAGCAAATGACAGAATTTCTTCCTTTTTAAAAGCTGAATAGTATTGCATTGTGCATACCTTCCACAGTCCTCTTTATCTTAGGTTGATTCCATAACTTGGTTATTGTTAAAACTGCTGCAGTCAACATGGGAGTATAGACATCTCTTCAACAAACAGACTTCAGATCTTTTGGGTAAATACCCGGGAGTGGGACTGTTGGGTCATATGGTAGTTCTATTTTTAGTTTTTTGAGGAGCCTCAATACAGCTTTTCATGATGCTGGTATTCATTAACATTCCCATCAACAGTGTGCTACGGTTTTTTCTCTCCATCCTTGCTAATAATCGTTGTCTTTTGTCTTTTTGGTAATAGCCATCCTAATAGGTGTGAGGTGATCTCATTGTGGTTTTACCTTTTTTTTTTTTTTTTTTTGAGACAGAATTTCACTCTCATTTCCCAGGCTGGAGTGCAATGGCACAATCTCAGCTTACTGCAACCTCCACTTCCTGGGTTCAAGGGATCATCCTGCCTCAGCCTCCTGAGTAGCTGGGATTACAGGCATGTGCCACCATGCCTGGCTAATTTTGTATTTTTAGTAGAGACAGGGTTTCTCCATGTTGATCAGTCTGGTCTCGAACTCCTGACCTCAGGTGATCCACCTGCCTCTGCTTCCGTAAGTGCTGGGATTACAGGTGTGAGCCACCAGGCCAGCAAGTGGTTTTACTTTTTATCTCCCTGTCAGTGAGATTAAGCATTGTTTTCATGTATCTCTTAGCCATTTATGTCTTCTTTTGAGAAATGTCTATTCACCTCTGATTTATTATAGAATTTTTACAGTTTCAGGTCTTGTGTTTAAGTCTGTAATCCATTTTGAGTTGGTTTTTGTATATGATGTGAGATAAGGTCCAATTTCATTCTTTTGCATGTGGATATCCAGTTTTTCCAACACCATTTACTGAAGAGACCATTCACTTTCCATTGCATATTCTTGGCACCTTTTGCTAATTGGCTGGCTGGGACCTAGGGTACTATATTGAATAGAAGTAGTGAGCATGGGCATCTTTTTCTTGTTTCAGATCTTAGAAGAAAAGGAGGAAAGGCTTCAGCTTTTGCCTGCTGAGTGTGGTGTTAACTGTGGATTGCTCAGATGTGGACTTTAGTGTGTGGAGGCACATTCCTTCTATATCTAATTTGTTGAGAGAGTTTTTAGCATGAAAGGATGTTAAGTTTTGTCAAATGCTTTTCCTGCATCTAGTGAAATGATCATGATGCTTTTTCTTCATTCTGTTAATGTGGTGTATCATGTTTATTGATTTCATTTGCTGAACCATCCTTGCATCCCAGAGATCAATCCCACTTGATCACAATGAATGATGTAAAGTGTTAAATTTGGCTTGTTAGCATCCTCTTAAGAGCAGGGCTCAGGACCAAGGCCAGGGTTGTCCTGGTGTAAGGGCAGTGCTGCCTGATGCTGCCAGTGGTCACGCCTGTCCATCCAGGCCTGTCCATGCTGAGCCCTTGCTGGTTGTGCTGTTGCTAGAGTGAATAGAGAGGCTGTAGATTTCCTTGACCACTCCTCACCCCACCGTCCAAGTTTATCTTGCCTCCTCTCGTCTCGTCTGGACTAGGAGGGTGTGGGGAGGACCTTACTAGCAGTGGCTGGCCCTGCTCCACGTGATGGTATGCGGCAGCTTTTGTCTTCCGCTGGAAGTCCCGCTTGCCAGCTGGTGATGTATGTGGGGGTCTGTCTGCAAGGGGATGGATAATCTACGGGCGTCCCCATGGCCTGCTCTGGGCAACGCTGGGGTTGGGTGTAATGGAGTATGAGCCATGTAGTGCAGTCGGGCCCCAACAGTGGAGGAGAGAGAGAGAAAGATAGCAGAGCCCCAGGGGGTTGTGGTCGGTGAGGGAGGGCAGGATGGGGCTTGCTGTACTTTCATGGCTTGGGTTTGTGTTTCTCTCCCTCTAACATCTTCCCCTTCTTTTTTCTAGCAGAGAAGGAAGAACCCTCAGGAAGGGCTGTACAATGTAAGTAGAGGAGATGTCACATTTGACTTTGGAAAGTTGGAGGAAGGGCTGGAGGAGGGGTCTGGAGGAAGGGTCTGGAGGAGGGGGTTGGAGGAGGGGTCTGGAGGAAGGGTCTGGAGGAGGGGGTTGGAGGAGGGGGTTGGAGGGAGGGTCTGGAGGAGGGGGTTGGAGGAGGGGGTTGGAGGGAGGGTCTGGAGGAGGGGGTTGGAGGAGGGGGTTGGAGGGAGGGTCTGGAGGAGGGGGTTGGAGGAGGGGGTTGGAGGGAGGGTCTGGAGGAGGGGGTTGGAGGAGGGGGTTGGAGGGAGGGTCTGGAGGAGGGGGTTGGAGGGAGGGTCTGGAGGAGGGGGTTGGAGGGAGGGTCTGGAGGAGGGGGTTGGAGGAAGGGTCTGGAGGAGGGGGTTGGAGGAGGGGGTCTGGAGGAAGGACTGGAGGAGGGGGTTGGAGGGAGGGTCTGGAGGAGGGGGTTGGAGGAGGGGCTGGAGGAGGGGGTTGGAGGGAGGGTCTGGAGGAGGGGGTTGGAGGGAGGGTCTGGAGGAGGGGGTTGGAGGAGGGGGTTGGAGGAGGGGGTTGGAGGGAGGGTCTGGAGGAGGGGGTTGGAGGAAGGGTCTGGAGGAGGGGGTTGGAGGAGGGGGTCTGGAGGAAGGACTGGAGGAGGGGGTTGGAGGAAGGGTCTGGAAGAAGGACTCCAGAGGAGGGGCTGGAGGAAGGGCTGGAGGAGGGCTCCCGAGGAAGGCGTTGCTCCACACTCCGTGGTCTTTGTCTGTCCAGATTGTCCCTTCCTGGGGGGAGTAATGTCTCGCTTTCTTGCGGCCTGCAGCAGCATCTGCTTCTAGAAAGGCTCCTTAGCTAAGAAGTGCCAGGTGATCTCCCTCCCCAACCCCTGCTGCTGGAGTTCCCAGGTCAATCAGCCTGGAGTGTAGCAGGACACAGCAAGGTCAAGCTGGGCAAGAACAAGGGGTTGGTCCCTTGGAGGGTCTCCTGTCCTGGGTGCTGAAGTCTTGAGTGTCCCGCTTATTAGAAGGTCAACCTCACCCTCCTGGGTGTGACCCTGATTGTTGACCTGGGTTGTCTTGCAGGGGACCCTTGCAGCCTCCCGTGAGGAGGGAGGGTTGATCCACAGCTGGTGGGTTTGGCTGTGTAAAGAGACAACTTGCTCAGATAAATGATGCTGGGGCTCCAGGTGAGCCCTGGTTTTGTCCGGTCTCTGTGTCTTTGTCTAGAACTCCACATCCTATCTTTCTGAGCCTAACCCGAGCTCCTCAGCTCAGTGCAGAGGGCTGGCAGCTCAGAGACTCCAAAGGGCTAAGGACGAGGTGGGTGGACTGGAGCTGGTTGTGGGCAGAGAAGTTTGTGTGCATAAGGTTTGGAGCCTTGATTCTGGGAGCCCTCCCTCCCTGCCACTGCTGCCAACTTGAGGATCAAGAGTTTCCTCTTGTAGGGGAGCCTGCTGCTTTCTGCATTAGTTGGTGAAAATCAGTGCCCATGCTCTCTTCTTCCTCAGGCACTGCAGAAAGATAAGATGGCAGAGGCCTACAGTGAGATCGGGATGAAAGGGGAGGTGAGTGCTGTTGTATCTTAATTCCCAAGGGAGTTCCTCATGGTCCTCCAGACACTCCTGCTGCAGGCCTCCTTTCCCACCCACTTCTCATCCCAGCTGCAAATGCCCAAGTGGTGGCCATCAGAGGTGAAGGCGAACCTGGCTGTCACCCAGTCAGAACGTAAGAAACCAAGGAAGGGCTGATGCTCTTGGAGGATTGAAAACCAAATCGAGATTCTGTGACAGCCTAAGCTTTGCAAAAGCAGGTCTGTTTTAATCACAGGAAGCACCGAATGCTTACCATGTGTTGCCGTGTTTGGTGCTCAGGACCACAGGTCCCAGGGCAACATGAAAACGTGGGATCCCTTCTTCACCAACAATTAAGAATTTCAAAATGGCGAGTGAAGCACTGATCCCTTCCAAGCAGGGGTTCTCTGTAGTTTAATTCCCACAGTAACCCAATGAGAAACATGTGCCCTGAGAGGCACAAGGAGATGAAGTGACTTACCCAAGGTCTTACAGCTAGTAAACAGGGGAGCGTGATTGAACTGACTGTGCCAGAGCTCGTAACTGGTCAAAACAGCAGTTGTCAGTTAGCAGAAATGACTAGCCAAGAACTTTAAGAGCTGAAGGGAGTCCATTTATCCAAGCAGTGGGCAACACAGGTCCTGCGGGCCCTAGACCTTAGGAATCTGCTGGCTGTGAGGATCTGAGTGGGGTGGAGCAAACCCAAGTCCCACCACGGCCAGGCCTCACTTTACGCAGCAGAGATGAGGGTCTGACCAGGGGGTCGAGGATCTTTCCCTCCCAGGGGCAGGGGTGCTGCTGGGAGACAGTTTTCTCTGACTTCCTGGGTACCTTGGGAGGGGCCCTTGAGCAGAAATGCCACTACTGACTGCCTGACTTTCTCATCCTTTTCTCATTTCACTCCCAAAGAACCAGCGCCGGAGGGGCAAGGGGCACGATGGCCTTTACCAGGTAGGAGCTGCCTGCATTCCTTCTGGGGAAGGGACACCACGATCAAGGCCCCCACACTTTGCCTGCTCATGGCACCAGCTCTTGCCAGCAGCTGGGCAGGGCAAGCCCAGGGCACCCATTCAGGCCAGTGGCAATGCCACTACCAATAAGTCTCTAGAGCACAGCTGGGACTCAGCCATTCAATCAAATTACTTGGTTCCAACCATGCATTGTTTGGCCCTGGCAGACACAGCAGCAGCTGCCCAGAGGTGCGCGGCCCCCTAGCAGGTGCAGGTGGAGGCAAAGGGCCACACGAGTGATGATCCTGCCTTTTTGGGTCCTTGTAGAACCCTTGCTCTGTGTCGTTTCTTTAGACCTAGTAAGATGAGAGGATGGCTGGGAAGACTGAAGGAAAAAAGAAAAATGGCAACTTCAAAAAGAAAACGTTATGTAGTTAGGTGCCTGGTTTCTGCAAATCAGTGCAAGTAATTATGCAAACTAAGCAATCAACCTACTTCTCTAAAATATGATCCCCGCAGGTTCTCATTTCTCTCCTTCTGGCTTCCATGGGCTGTCATAGCTTGCTCTTCTGACTCCAGTGTCGGGATGCCCAGCTTGCCTGAGTTGAGCGATATCAAAAGGGCCCCAGGAACTTACCTGTGTATGGCTGCTGTTGATCCGTCTCCTTCCTGGCCCCCGGACCAGGGAGACAGGAATACCAGGCAGGTCTAGGGCCAGCCTTGTGGGCCTGTTCCTGACCAAGAAAATACTGGAATAGCTGGCCTGGGAAGGAGGCTCTCCTCTCCCTGTGACAAGTCCAGGCTTCCTTTGGGCCCAGGTATCAGGGACAGCAGATGCTCTGGAGCAGGCCCGGGCCCTTCTCCTGATTCCTGCCCAGTATGGAAGGTGGGAGACTCCTCTCTCTTAATTGTCACATTAACTTGGCAGGGCCCAAGCACTGTAAGGCACAGAACTTGAGGAGCTAAAAAGAGGGGTGAGAGCTGAGCTGGAAAGGAGCTGCAGCAAGGCCCTTCCCAGCAGGGCACAGAACTCACCTCTCGAAGCTGTCGCAGCCAAGGCTCCCGCCAGTGGGGTCAGCGGGACTCTTCCTGGTCCTCTGGAGGCTGGGTGGGTGACCACGGGGCTGTGCCGCAGACACCTGTTGGCCTCTGGGTTGGTTTCTGCCCACCGAGGCTGCTGACCCACTCTTCTTTTCTGATTTGCTTTCACCAGGGACTCAGTACGGCCACCAAGGACACCTACGACGCCCTTCACATGCAGGCCCTGCCCCCTCGCTAACAGCCAGGGTATTTCACCAGTGAAAGGCAGGACCTGCAGATACCCAGATTGAGACACAGGATAAAGCATTTACAACCCGGTTCACTCATCTCAGCCACGAAAAGTATTCCCCTTCATGTACAGGATGCTTTGGTCATATTCAGCTCCAAAACATCACAGACTGCTGTCCTCGCACTCTTTAAGGGAGCGTGCCCCCCAGGGCTCACGGCCCTGGCCTTGGGCCCTCTGATTTTCCAGTGGTGCAGGCAGACCAGTCTCCTGGCAGCTACGTGATCTCCCTGGGAGGTGGGTATGCTGTCTCGCAGCTGAGCTGTCTGTTTTGTAAAATCCCCAGAGAAACTGCAGATGCTAGCACTTGCCCGAATGTCTGTATCACTCTATCAATGTTTGAGTGGCTTCACCCCTGCTGTAAATTTGGCTTGTTATCACCTTCACCTCCTTTCAAGGTAACTGTACTGGGCCATGTTGCACCTCCCTCCCTGGTGAGAGGGCCGGGCAGTGGGGCGGACAGGAATGGAGCCTAGGTCAGGTGCAGCCAGGGAGCTGCAGGGGCCTGGGAAGGTGGGCAGGCAGGGTGGTGGGGTCTCCCTGCCTGAGGCCTCTGTCCTGCAACATTGAACTGCCACGTGCTATGGGGGCTGGAAGATGAACAAGAATGCCCTTGATGAGCTGTGCACAAAGTGGTATAAAGAACAGTGTGGTTCCAGGGTGTGAACAAAGTGCCTGGGAGCAAGAGAAGGCCCTTGATTCGCCTCAGGCTTTCAGCAAATGACAAAACCATCATCATGAAGGCCTCGCAGGAAGACCCAGCACCATGGGACCTGTAACTGCCCAGCAGACAGTGGCAGGCCAGGAAAACCCCAGTCAATGTACTGGAACACTGCTGTGTCATTACAGGGCACAGGCCATGGATGAAAAACGCTCTCTGCTCTGCCTTTTTTCTACTGTTTTAATTTATACTGGCATGCTAAAGCCTTCCTATCTTGCATAATAAATGCTTCAGTGAAAATGCAGCTTTACTTTTAAGCTTTATTTCAGCAGTCAAGCCTGTAATGGCAATTTAGTCATCAGTCAATCAGCAGATTGCCCCTGAGGGAGAAGGGAAGCGGAACTGCTGATTCTTGGGAGAGGACAGGACAGTTCCTGAGAACCAGCACGTGAGCACAGGTGCATCCTATGAGGCAGCGTCGCACAGCGCAGGTGAGCTGGGCATCCAGGCTGGGTAGCTGCACCTTAGAGTGGGGCTCAGTGCAATACAATGTGTCAGTACTGGCCCAGGCCTGTGCCAGAACCAGACAGGGCTATGGGAAAGGAGCCCTGCAGCACGGCACCAGCTGGTGGGGGTGCAGGAAAACAAGCGGGAGGGGCCAGCCTGGCACTCAGACATCAGAACAGGCAGCACGTGAGCAGAGGGTGTCTGGGAGTTATGCATAGCAGCTGATGCCACAGTGTGAAATGTCTCCGTGCACAGGGTGAGGAAGCCTGAAGGGTAAAAGGCAGGGTGGAGTGGGGCAAGAACCAAGGTGCTTATGGCGATTCTGGGGTTCCTGAGTGCACTTGGAAAAAATAAGTTGGGAGCCGAATTATGCGAAGAGCCTGAGAATGTGTGTGTGAAGCATTCAGCATACCAACACGGCAACTTCAAAGAAATTCCAACAATGTCAAAACACTTGGAAAATGGTTTAATCATGTTTTACAACAGAAAGGAACTGTACAGTTACAGTAAGTTTAATATATATAAAAAAATTACAGCAGACAAATGCATCTACACAAAATCTACCATTTCATTCCGATTCACTGTCACCTACACAATCTCTCCCAAGCCTATAGCCCCTGCAGGCAGCCCTAGGAGGGGGAATCATCTAAAGGGCACTTTGAGAGAGACAGCACCGCTCATATTCCCCGCCACCTCCTCAAGCCTCAGGAGGCATCAGCTAATTCCCCAAAATGTAAAGTTGCCTGTGTTTCAGGTTTTCAAAACCAAGAAAACGTGTGTTTCCCAGGGGCACAGATAACAAGGTCCAGCACACCAAGTTATCAGCTGATTCTTAGAAAATATTCCTATCAGAGGGGAAATATTTGGCTAACAGGCACTCTGGGGCAGTATGGCTACACAACAGCCACCCAGAGTGCAGAGTTATCTAAGAGAAATGTAGAGGGACTCCCAACAAACCACCTCAGAATTGTCACTGCCTCATTAAAGCTGCTGGACAATTTCGGAAAGAATCGTTTACACCACATCTTAAGTTTCCACAAAGAAGAACTCAAACTCACATTTAAAGTACATAAAACAAAAAGTTCTCGGAGGCCAAGGGGCCAATTCCCCTTGTGCCCTTCCCTTGACAACAGTGGACAAACACCCCTGAATTAATAATTAAGACAAAAAAGGAAGAAAAAAAAGTGAGTTAAGATATTAAAAGACAGAGAAAGAAAACATCTTTAGAAAGACACGATCAGTCTCTTTAAAAGAGAACAAAATCCCAGTTGGGAACAGTAATGAGGAATATGCAATCTAAATTGACACCTGGTGGGAGATTATTATTGAATATTATGTACACTCAGAACTTTTTCATTTTCTTATTATGAACACCTAGGCAGTGAAAACTGTTATGTTAATACATACATAGACACACCCAAAACATACAAAAATACTATTATTTCAAACTACTAAGAATAGGACAGTTCAATTATTTTCATGCTATGTCTTTAAGAGCATTACACTGAAACAAACAAGAAGTTAAACGACATTTTTTTTAATATCCCAGAAATATACCAAAATATACATCTAAGCTTTGGAATTACTGAGGTTAGACTAATGCAAGTGCTGGGTAATCGTACTTAATACACAAGTCTAAGGTTCTGCAGGAAAGAAATTATCTTTGGTATCTGCATCAGGCTAATATTATTAACATTTGGATTTTGCTTTGGGATAGAGCTTGTATGACCCAAGAACCAAGTACCCCCCTCCCCCAATCAACTGAGATTAAAAAGATCCATGTAAAAAGTTCCTTCATTTGCAATCCCCCCACCCCCCAAGTTAAAAAGTCACAGGCATCTACCTAGCACAAAAGGTTGTGAAGTACAATGCATAGTTGCACAGTGGTGCTGCAAAAAGGAAACAAAACTACAATCAAGAGAAATGAAAAGCTTGATAATCTTTCTGCATGTTTTCTCACAAACAGGACAGCCACTTCCAAGCAGTTCCAGTAAAGGAAAAGAGAAAAAAGGCTCAGAAGGGCAACTTGGCGTGCATTCGCCCAAGCCCCAGAGGTTAAAGCACCCAGCAGAGCAGCCAATCGTGTGCCAGTGTCTTCAACGTCCCCCACTCTGTGGAGTCCTCGGCCAGTCCAGCAGCAGCTCCCACCCTCCTGAGGCCCTGTGTTAAGTCCCCATAGTGACCCTGGTTGGTGTAGGGTGGATGATGGTGGTGCTGGGATTTTTTGACTTTTGTTTTGGAAAATCTGAAATGCCAATTTGTTTCAGGGCATGCTCACAAGTTTTCGAGGGCCAAACCTAGGGGCATGCACCTGTGCAGGACCCTGGAAGGTGGAAAACAGCTTACCTGCCCTTTCTGATCCGGTCAGAGGGCGCCCACCTTCCCCGGCCTCACTCTTCCAACTGCCAGGACACCACAGACTGGACTGATGCTGAAGACTTCCCTTTTCTTTGGTTCTTTTGTTTGTTTTGAGTTTATACAATCATTAAGAAATCTTTGGTTTTGGCTGGAAGTTTTAAAAAAACAAAACAAAACAAAACAAAGAAACCACCCTCCCTGGCTTATAGCAGCAGTATCATGACCTGGCTAAGCTTTTTGTCAGCATGAGGGGTGGGAATTGAAGGTTGGGAACTACATTCAAAGAAAAGGTGAAAGGGCTGGGGATGCAGCTTCTAGAGAGCCCATTGGATACAAGATTGTCAAATAATAATATTAATAATAAACTTAAATATTTGGATATTTTTGGTCATGTCAAAGGAAAAAAAGTAAAATGTGTTTGCAGCAGTCAGCTTAAAGGAGCCTTTGGTGTTTTCCTTTCTACCCAAAGTCCTGAAAAGAAACAGAACCCTGAGGCCTCAGAGGAGAAGGGGTTGGCCTCTACCCAACCAAGGAAAAGGCAAGTACAGACATGTGGCCAGCTGTCAGAAACGCAGGCTGGGGTAGGGGTGTGGATAGCTGGCCAGCCCCTAAAGGCAGGGTAGCTGGGAAAGCGGATGTTAAGAGACCTGTGAAGACCCCTTGCAACAAAAAGGAACAGAAGATTGCAATTTGCCCTCAGTTTGCAGTAGCTTTTAAGCAGCGACATTCAGAAGCTTTAGGGGGTCCCACCCTAGGCTACAGGTCCCATGATGCTATAGGCCAGAGTTTAACATGACTGAGAGGAGGGAGGGCAGACTTGGCAACTCTGTAGGGTTCCGAGAAAGTTAAAGCAAGTCACTCGGTCATGAGTTAGAAATGAGGTATACAACAGCTCCTGGACTTGTGGTGGGTAGAACAGCCCACGCTTACTTACCTAGCCTTCACTACGACCACAGATGAAGGGACAGAAGGACAGACTAATGCGGGAGGAGAGCGTTTCCTGCAGAGTGAGACCTCCTGTGGACTGAGCAATGCACATGTGTCCATGCACGCAGAGGTAAGAAGCTGGAAGTCTTTCCCTGGCCTGCCCTTAGGAAAGATACACCATTTCCGTTGTCAAAAGCCAATGTTGTTATGCTCCCTGCACCAACCTATCCTGTTTTCGCCAACTGTTTGCAGTTGTAAACCCATCCAGGCTGGAACTAGTCCACTCTACTCTTACAAAGTGTGTGCCTTCTGCACATTCATGCAGGAATGGAACCAAGGACATGGCACCCCTCACTGTCTACAACTACAGCTTTTGTAGCAGACACTGTCATTTTAGCTTCTGAAAGTGCATTTCTTTTCTTCCTGTTTTTAGACCATGAGACTCATTAAGGCTGGTGGGAGCACAAAGTCGTTTCTCTACTTGGCTCTGTCCTTTTTCATTTGAAAGAGATCCCAATCTTAAGAAACTCAACACTGTATCTAGCTGTCTGCCTGCAGACTTTGGGATGTAATGTTTGAGAACTCAATGCTGCTGCCAATTTATGAAAAAAGCCTTAAGCTGCTCCTGTGAGGCTGTGGCCAACTTACAGAATGATGAACAAGTAAACCAAGAAAACATGGGAAAACTTTGCAGCAGATCTTAACGTTTTTTAACGTAAATTAGTTTTGGGGTGTTAACTTTCTGACAATATCCTGGGTTTAAACCAGAAGGTGGCATTGGGTGGTGGAACCCCGTGCAGGGTGGGTAGATTCAGGGACACAGAAACAATCACAAATCATGTCTTCCCTCCCAGGCCCAAGGGACCTTTGTTTCTGTGCTCAAAGCAGTGTTCCATTACATACACCTTGTTTTCCCAGAACTTCTGTTTCAAGTGCTCTAACCTTCAACATCCCTATTACCTACTTATAAACCTATCTAGCACTTTGGAAAGTCATACAATATTAATACCACCTTTACATAATGTCAGCACAAGATTAGTAAAGCTTTTATGAAGTTCTGCAACCTGATTATTTTTGATGCAATATTCAGAGAGCAATCTATTTCTTTACCCTCTCCCCATTTCTGTGTCCTATCAATAGTACACCGAAACAATGAACTACTTGACTCCCTAGAGCCCATATATAAACACATTCTGGAACAAAACATTTACAGGAGAGTAAGGGAAGATCTGTTGGTTTTCCACATAATCCTGTTCTTGAAAATTCTTATTGTTTACAGGAGACAGATGGAGATAGCAAATCTAAATATTGTCAACTCATATAGGCTGTATTCGTTCTATTTATAAGTATTAGATAAAGGGAAGTAATGAAAAAATCCTACCCCTATCTTTTGCCCTCCCCAAATTTCTCAGCAATTCCAAGAACATCACTGCTACGAGCCAGCAGAGCAAAACAAAATAAATCTCATTTCCAAAGCCAGGATAACCAAGAAGACTTCCTTCAAAAAGCAGG